TAAATGAGTCAATGGTGGGTTTCCTACAGTTTGTTTTTAATCATGTACCCATCCCTCATAAATTTCCTATTCCCTCATACTACATCTTCAACACTAACAGAAAATAATAAGGGGACCACAGGAGCATTTCTGAGAAGTGCCATTTCCAAGAGCTTACAAAGTAATTTCTTGGAGCCAGCCATATCAGAGGAGGCGGCTGTCTTGTGTGTCTGCAGATGTGCCATCTGACATACTTATTGAACACAACTACAGAACACAGCTCATATCTGCTTCCTTCCTGTTATTCCTCCTTCCCAGATATCATCTAAAGTGTGACACATGAATGTGCTCTGTTCCTCACACTTGTCATGGAAAAATACTCATCCTGGTTTCATAATGAGTTTGAAGCTAGCATGGGCTACGTGGTGAGTTCAAGGCCAATGCTAACTACATAATGAAATACTATCTGAAAAAGAAAAGTGAAATAGTCAAAAGAAAAGATAGAAAAAAATGCGTACTTATCTGTCCCAGGGCTGCTATTAGGATATGTGCTGGTACACACAGAACCACTATTGTAAAGGCACAGCCAGGCAGATATCTGGCTGCCCACAGACTCAAAATCATACTCCGAAATGTGGTGACCCTCTTTTGTGATCAAAGATAAATCTTGCCTTGTTATTCTTAATAACCCAGTGCTGGAGCTGTACATGGTAACCCAGGCCCATAATCCCAGCTCTTGGGAGGCTAAGGCAGGATTATCAGAGGTTCCAGACTAGCCTGGGAAGCTTAGTGAGGTACTCACTGAAAGCAAAATGTAAAAAAAAAAAGGGGGGGGGGTAGAGAATATAGCCCAGTAGTATGGTGCATGCCTAGCATTTGGGAGGCCCTAGGTTAAATCCTCAGAACTGAAAACAAAATGAACAAAACAGCTCTGAATGTACAGTGTATGAGTTACTTAGCAAGCATTTTCTTAATCAGGTACCCAGTTAGGCACATAACAGGGACAAAATCCAGGGAACAAACAGATACTATGGGTCTTAGCTGCCTTTCTAATACTATGATAAAACACCATGACCAAGAGTTCATTTGAGGCTTATAGATTCAGAGTGTTAACAGTCCATAAGAACATGCCAGGGAGAAGGGTAACAGACAGGCAGGCATGATATTGGAGCAGTAGATGAGAGTTCACATCTTAAGATGAAACTACCAGGTATAGGGGCTAATGGGAATGCTGTAGACATTTGAAATTTCAAAGTATTTGTCAATGACACATCTCCTCCAAAAAGGACACACAGCCTAATGCTTCCCCAACAGTTCCACCAGCTGGTGACCAAGTATTCAAATATATGAATCTATGGAAGCCATTCTCAAACCATCACAAGCAACTTATCGCAGGATGCCACAGAGTTTTATGATCTGTGGTGAGTTTCCTGAAAAAATACATGCAATCCACAAAACAAAGGGTCTCCAAGGTGATGATGAAGTAGGGAATTTCCCCCAATAGCATAGCCTCAGTAAAAGAGTAGGGAATGACTTAGTAACAAGGAAAGGGAAACCAGAAACAGTTTTAATAGCCAAAAAAATGGCTTGCAGAGCTGTGGTCTTGCTCTTAAGAGCAATAGTGGGCCACAGATGATTTTCAACAGAAAACAGGGGTACCAAGCATGGGCTTGAATAGACCTGGGAGAGGAAATGTGAGCAGAAGAGAAGGCAAGAGAGAAAGCTTGGTTGAGGATATTGGCTAGGGAGATGGGTCAGCTAGGATATGGGGTAACACATAGGGAGAGGAAGGACAAACCAATAATGAGCAGCTATGCAGATGAGAGTGCCATGAGCCAGTCGAGGGGCAGATGCAAGTTGGCAGAGATGATCATATATAAATGTTTTCTTGTGTGACCACTGATGACATGAAAACATCATGTTCTATATAATGCATCCATATTCATTATCCTGCAAAGTTCTGGGAATAGGAATCATGAGACATAGGAGAGGGATGGTAACAGGTAAAAAAAAAAAAAAAAAAAAAAAAAGTAGAGATGTCAGGAATCTTCTATGGAGGAAAAGATTCTAAAATCTACCCATTTTAATGTGCCAGATGGAATTTGTTGAATTGTTACATGTTTTAAATAATAAAAGATTTAACTCAGTTAATAATTGTCCTAGCTTGTTTTCTAAGGCTGTGGTAAAGACCAAAAGCAAACACAACTTGGGAAGGAAAGAGTTTATTTAGTTTAAATATCCTGATCATAATCCAACATTGAAGGGAGGCATGAAAGAAACTCAAGGCAGAAACTAAAACAGAGGCCATGGAGGAACACTGCTTCCTGGTTTGCTTTCCATGTCTTGCTCAGTCTATGTACTTATACAACCAGGACCAACTATCTAGAGGGGGTACCATCCCAGTGTGCTGGGCCCTCCCACATCAACTCTTAATCAAGAATATGTCCAACAGACCAATCTGACAGGGGAATTTTTCCCAACTGAGGTTCTCCTTCCCAAAGAACCCTAACTTGTGTCAAATTGACAAAAATGTAACCAGAATGAAACCAGTATGTAAAATAATAGACAACTCGTCTATCTGGATCTCCGTGAGTAGAACCATAGACCCTCTCTATTTGTCTCCTGTCATCTGAGGTTCAGGGACTCGGGAAAGCCTTGGGCTCCAGGGGGCACCCTGTCCCTTCAACATCCTAATCATTAATCAACATTACAGATCATATCCCATGTGATCAATAGGATCCACAACTTTGGTACTACATGATCTTAGGATTCAAAGAAAGTGGGATTCTTCAATTTTCAAAACATTAAAAAACAAAACAAAACAAAGAAACAAAAAACAGGGTCTTACTATGTTTTCTCTAATTCCAAGTTTCTATCAGTCCCCCTACTTCAGTCTTCCTAGTGCTGGGACTATAGGTTCCAGCCACTGTGTCTGAAAGCACCAAGCATTTATGAGAACCTGACATGTTACAGACACTATATCCTCCTTCAGTGGCTGGCATTATCCCAGCCCATTTGACAATTAAGTTAGCCAAGCCTGAAACCCAATTACATAGTTTTTCTGTATGTGGAAAACAAATATTTGAAATTAAAATTTAGGAACTACCCTCACCCAGTTTTTTTTCTTTTATATCATTCAGATTGGCTTAGAAATAATTATCCTCTTGCCCCATTTTCCTCATTTCTGGGATCACAGCCCCGTGCCACCCCACCTGACTCAGTCTGTGTTTCTAAACAAGCCATAAGTGGCTTATTGACTGGACAAGAGAGGGAGGAAGTGGAGTGAGCAGTAAGTGTGGAGGCAGAGGCAGCCCTCTTGCCAGCTCTTCCTCTCTCTTTTCACTTACCTGTGGTGTATGCACTAAGACCCTGGGAAACAGAGTGACTTGCTTTTCACCTTAATTAGTACAGCAGTTTGCTAAATTTTGTTTTTACCTTTTTAAAAGTGTAAATCAATTTTAGCTCAGAATAGATTGGAATGGCACACAAATTAGAACAATCCCCCAAATGCAAAACACTGAACGTCTTGATCAACCTCGGAGCCTGAAATATGTGAAAATCAGAACCTCTAGCCTACATCAACATGATCAATCTATTTAAAATGTTCCTACTCTGAAATGAAATTATAATAGCTTTGTGGCTCTTAGAAGAATCTATTTGCCAGAATCAACCCCATGCCTATGTGTCTGGTCCTTCCCAAGGTGGTTAGAAACAGAAAGCCAGAGTTTTCCTCCAAAGCTACTAGTTCCTCTAACAATAGCAGTACACTAGACCTCCGAGTATGTGAGACACCTACCATGCACTACCTACTATGCATCAGAAAAACAGAAAAAGAGGGCATGTGCTCTCATCTTCTTACTTCAATAAAGAGGTGCTGCTAGACTCCAATGGCAGGCTCAGCATTTTAACATTGTGACACAATACTGTCATTTATACATTCCTTGCACAAGGTTTATGGAAGTGTTTTACAAAAAATAAGAAAATAAAAATAAATGCAAACACAAATACACACACACACAACTTACCATGTTTTACGTAAGTTTATATTTTGTGTCATGATGCATTCATAGCTACTTTTGGCTACATGGGGACTAAGAACTACAGATTAGACATAGTGGTAAGAGCCAAGTGGATAGCAAGTTTCTTGCTCATTCTTGGAAAGGAGAAAGGAAAGTAATGCCATTGACTATAAAAGGATGGGTCAGATGGTGACATGATATTAGGAAGAGTAAGTTTGATAGAGGACACAGAATAAGCAAAGGACTGCAACATTGGAGAAGCCACATATTATGTGTCCTCTAATATTTATAGCTAAGTGTTAGGGAGAATTCATAGCAATGACAAGAGATAGATAAGAAGCAGAGTTGGGAGCCCCTCATCAGTGGTCTTTAATTAGACCACAATCTCAATCATCATGCAAACAAAGTGGTATCACTCAAGTAAAGGAATCACACATGACCACATGAATTTTATTGGTTGAAATCTTTCTAATGCAGTATTTATTCAGTGTATTTTTCTTGGGGTATCATCATCTTTCATCAGAAACTCCTACTTACCCCAATAGCTGGGATTATAACCTTTCTATACCTGAAAAGCATGCAAGCATGGGCTGCTTATTGATTTGTGTCTTGTGACCAGTCTTGTGACTGTGCTTAGAGTTAAGGCAAGTTCTGTCAGACTCTGAGGTCAACATTCACCTCAGTGAACAATAGAGCGATTACCTACCATTCAACCACTGACCATGTTCAGATACATACCGCAGTCAGTGAACTTCAGCTTCTACCAATTTCCTTGGTGGCTAGAATTGCCCAGACCAAAGTAGATTCTATATTAGATGACCAGTTTTGCTAATATGTGGCTTAATGATAAATTCAGATAAGCACAGTTATAAATTGCACATTTCCTACTAGGAGGTGAGGTCTCTGTTCTTGCTACAGTTAAATTAATGATACCCAACCAAGGTTTCTAATGCATCACATCAGGGAAACTCTTCTCCCCTCCTCCCTTCTTCCTTTCCATACCTTGAGCTCATCAGCATTATAGAAGTCCACACGCACAGCAGGTACCATCCAGGTCTGGAAAAGCGTAGCCAGGATCTGCTCCGCAATAGAATCAGCGATGAGGTGGAAGTGCAAAGGGTTCCGCCTGTGGACAGGAAAGGAGGATGCCAAAAAAGCATTAAAGGCCTTGAGTCTACTTGCAAATTTACCACTTCCCAACTGATATTATGCGACAGTGTCACAAGCCACTGTGGAAGTAAACCAGGCATATAGCTCCACAGTGCTTCTTGGTGAGGATATTAGAACTACAAGGGAAAGAGGACAATTCCCTCAACCTCCACATTTCAGAGCCTAGACAACTAAGCACCATAGAAGGCAAAACCCAATTCTCACATCTGTTATGAAAAAAATCTGGATTCTAAGAATCTGAAGTGGGGCATATTTAACAATTGCATCAATCTTTATATCTGCCAACTTGACATACCAGCATTAATATAGACACACAATGACAATGGGCTATATCTTAAACTGGTGTGGGCAGCTGGCAACATACTTCTCCATTAACTCAAAGATAAGATGTGTTTGGTACTTGTTCTTTTCCAAAACAAAGCCATGTTTTCATGCTGGAGTCATCTGGAGCTTCACTGAGGATACTAGACTGCCTCTTTTGTAGTGGGTCCAAGTCTTGTAGTCACTCAACTGTCTACAGTGACCAGCCCTTAGTAGACAGTTCAAGACACAAGGGCACAGATTCTGGGAGCTTTAGTGGTTTGAATATGAAATGTCCTCACAAGGATTTATGTGCTTGAATACTTGGTCCTTGGCTGGTAGCACTGTTTGGGTAGGTAGTAGAACCTTTAGGAGTAAAGTTTTGCTGAAGTAAGTGACTGGGAATGAGTCTGACTTATGATAGCTTAAGCTCATTTCCTGTTCATGTTTTCCTTCCTGACTGCAGAGATGAACAGCTAGCTTTATGCTCCTGCCTTCCCCTTCATGATAAAATGCATCTCCTTGAATTTTATGGCAACATTAAGCCATAATAAACTATTTCTTAAATAAGTTGATTTTGTTAGGATATTTTCTTACAGCAATGAAACAAGTAAAAAGTACCAAAAATTGCTACCAGGTAAGGGGTTGTAATGTATGCTTTTGAACATAAGCCAGAATAAATCCTTCCTTCCTTAAATTGCTGTATCTCATGTCTTTTGTTGCAACATGAAAAGCAATCAATACAAGGAAAAATGGAAATGAATACATCCAGTTCTGGCTCTTCCCACAGCATTTCCTTCTTGAGTCTGATAAATGATAAAGGAGCCTGCCTCCATCTTAGGCTTAAAAACAATTTTATAATAAAGACAAAATAGGTTCATTCCTGTTTATGATTAAACTTTTGTTTCTCAAGGACTAGATTATGACCCACCTGTAACCTTAACTACAAATGGTTCTGTGCAGCCTATCCCAGGAAACAGCAACCATGCCTCTGTTTCAAAAGGTTACTATGACCACCTATGGCTACCCAGCTATGACTACCTATTGCTATAACGACCACTTTGCAACCACCTTGGAAGTATGTCTTTGTTTCAGGTTGTTATGACTAACTTGTTATGCTTATGCTCGGCTACTATAACCTTCCCTATTTTGCCTGCCAAATTCCCCATTTGGAAACCACCTCCCCCTGAGCTGTAAAAACCTTGTCTTCCTCTTCTTCTTCTTCTTCTTTTTTTTTTTTTTTTTTGTTGTTGTTGTTGTTTTTTGTTTCGAGACAGGGTTTCTCTGTGTAGCTTTGCGCCTTTCCTGGAACTCACTCTGTAACCCAGGCTGGCCTGGAACTCACAGAGATCCACCTGCCTCTGCCTCCAGAGTGCTGGGATTAAAGGCATGCATAACCACTGCCCGGCTAAAACCTTGTCTTCTTCTTGTCCAATGCTGATCTCTCAAACCCTACCTTTAGGGAGAGACAGCCTGTGTACACAAATAAAAAGGCTTGCTTTAATTAATTTGTCCGTAATAATTTGGCTCAGTGGTCTTTCTCCTTGCATCTTTGGGATTAACAATAAGCACCATTTACTCACCCTCTCTAGCAATAAAAAGAATCCCATCCATTTCATACAACCCATGTCTTCCACACCCAGTCAATGGTAAATCTATAGAGGCCACTCCACCTAGGAGTTCCAAGTTAGATCTCAGGAGATAAATCTACTGGCTTTGATATATCTTGGATCAGTCAAAAACTAATAGTGAAACTTGGAAAGTCATATCACTAAGTGTCAACTTTAAAATCTTTCAAATGGACTTGATTAATAATAGTTCTATGCATGTATGTATGCACGTATGCATGCATGCACATATGTATGTATTTATGTATGTATGTATGTATGTATGTATGTATGTATCTATCTATCTATCTATCTATCTATCTATCTATCTATCTACATCAACTAGACTTAAGTATATGAAGCAAATAAAACAGATAACATAAGAAGGTCAAGGACTTGGTTAATGATGGCTATCATGATCATACCCAACCATCACTGATATCTCATGAATATTTACTTTTTCGCATGACTATTGCCTCCTCCAACATATATTTCATTCTATAAATCCTATGTTCTCTCTAAAATGATGTCATAATCTGCTGTCCACTGTGTAATATGTTAAGATCTACGCTCCCATGCTGTGCTAACAGGGATTTTAAAGAGTACACCTTATCCTCCACTTTATTTTCATGTCATTATAGTCCTTCATCCAACTCTGGCTGTTTTCTGTTCCATATCCACATATGACCTTCTCCTGTTCTTTCTACACAATAAGCTCCAGAGTCTTAAACTCAGGGCAGCCTTCTTTAGTCGTCCTACCCAAAATAGCCCCATATCCTCCCACTATGTTCCATCCCAGGTCCCTGTTGGGTTCCATCCTCACAACAGTTAGCAGTGCCGATATTTGTTCTCAGATGTAGCTATGTCTTCTGTCTCTGGGATAATAGGAGCTGTCTGAGGCAAAGCTTTCATGTTTTCATAAGTAACTGTCCTTGTTTCCTTTCATTGCCTTAGTGTGGCTTGCAAAGTACATGGCCTAATGCAGCTCAAGAAATGCACTATGTGCTTTTGCAAGCTTGTGTTCCTGTTGGCAGCTTTTCCTGAACCATCAACTCTCTACTGGAATCACTACCTTCTGTCTTCTGTTCCAAAGACAGTACAATGATTGAGGAAGCTACTCATAAATATAGGAACACCCTATATCCTACTGAATTAGGACTGGACTTTGGGAGCTCCATTTTGTTAATAATCTCCAGATATTTTTCAAACTTTCTTACATAAAGAATTACCTTGTCTTGTTTAATGAAAGAATAAGTGAATCAACAAAGACCAAGATGACCCAAATTCGATCACAGTTTGACTGAATTAACTGGAACTTAACTATTGAGAAGCATTTTGAAGGAAATGGAGGAGGGACTTCTTCAACACTGTGTTATATAACTAGTTTATGAAACTAGAGTTTAGTTGCTATGCTTAGGCAGTTAAAGGGCAGGCTCCACAGTGGATCATGTGCTAATCACACAACATATCAAACTTCCTCTGCAACTGTAAGACATATTAAGTATAAGTCTTTTCTACCAAATAATTGAAACTTATATTTAAGACAATTAATTAAAATCTTTTTATCTATCACAACATGTAAGAATTGTTTTATTTTTCAAATATTTAACACCCCCACCAAATGAATAAACAACAACAAAAAACAAACCAAACAAAAAACCAGCACAATCTTTGTCTACACTAAGGCTACATTCTAGGAATTTCATGGCCTGGTGTAGCTGGAAGTTTTTCTGTGTCCAGGCTAGCTGGGGGTCGGGACAAATCTCTTCTACCCACATCCCATATCTGCTTGGTCCCAAATAAACACACAGAGGTTTATATTATTTTCAAACTGTATGGCCCAATGGCTCAGGCTTCTTGCTAGCTAGCTCTTACATCTTAAATTAACCCATTTCTACAAATGTATACTTTGTCACATGGTCTGTAGCTTACTTTTATATCTCGCTTTTCCTGGCAATGACTAGCAGCGTCTCTCCTGCCTGTCCTTTCTTTTCCTGTCTATCCTCAATTTTCTGCCTAGCTAAAACCTGACTTGCCATTGGCCAAATGGCTTTATTTATCAACCAATCAGAGCAACACATTTTCACAGTGTACAGAAAGACATCCCACAGCAGCCTGGAACCTGAAACTTTTGCCCTTGAAGTAGTGACTCTTTTCCCTTCCTCCTTCATTTTCTGTGTGCTGATTCTTTGAAGACTGGCCAGTTGAATAAGACTGTGAGGTAGGTCCCCAGCCAATAGTGAAGAAAGAGTAAACACCTGAGTTAGAATAAATACCAAGTGTACCTCTTCTAGATGTGCTTGCTCTTTAGAGCACTCTTTGGGTCAAAGGGATAAAATTTTGCCTTATCCAGATATTTCAATTGGAGTGGTGTTCTCATTCTTTGTGACCCCTAAATTATTTTATACACAAGGAGGAGTAACTCTACTTCTATGGACAGAACTTGTATAGGATATGTGAAGTCCTTACTGGTTCAGGCCTCCGTGTGCTAAAAATGTCCAGTCTCAATAAATACTATTTCAATCTTCATCTAGTTCCTGTAGTACATCCATGGGGCAAGGCAGCACAATGTTTTGGCCCCCTGCCTCTCAGGAGTTCTTTCTTACTTTTCCTTAATAAACCTACACTTGTTCTGCTTAGCCTTTTCCTTGCTTACTATATTTCCTTATTCTTCTTAAGGCATAAGATAATAAACATTGGCTTGGGGTAACTTTGGTGACCACTGCCTGATCTTCAGACATCCCAGCTCCCCAGGGTAAGCTCCCTTATAGCCAAGAAAGGCTATGCTGTTCTCAAAAAATGACACATCACTTAGACTTGTCATCTAAAGCAGAAAGAAGAAAGGGAAGGAAGAATACACTAGACTTCACTGCATTGTCTGTCCCTGCTCACTACAACATGTAAGGTACAACAGGATGGTCACTTGTAGATGCAGAGGAAGGTTCCCTGCAGCCTGATCATGTTGGCACCTTCATCTCAAGCACCTCAAAGCCCAAGACTACATGTAATAATTCTGTTTTACTTAAGCCAAAAAAAGGAAAAGAAAATA